ATCAGGGCACTGGCCGCGTGAGTTGGGCTCCTGGCCTTTCTTCCCATCCAGTTCCCTGACCAGTCCCAGGGGTCCACACACCTCCACTTTCTCCCACCAGTCAGCCCCCAGGGCCCCACCTGGCCTCCCCCATCTCCAGCTCTCCTTGCAGGATGTTAGGGGCAGAAAATAGCTCTGGTGAACTGGCTGATACCTCAGGGCAGTGTTTTGGGTGGTCCTGAGAGCCACCTCTACTTGTGAAAATTGTGGATTCTAGGACCTCACCCTCACAGCCCAGCTTTCCAAGTGATTCTTACCCTTAGTAAAAGTTGAAATGTTTTCTGAAAATCTTAGCCCCATGCAAGTGTCCCCTGGCCGTGGGATCAAGATGCCCTGGTACACACCCCATCTCTAGCTGGTGCTGGAACTATATCCCCAAGATTGGCCAGGCAGCGAGGCCAGTATTCTTTTCCCTACAGTGTGGCTGTGACTCAGGATAGTGTCACCAGCAGGCTGTCTCTGGATTTCAGGTCTTTTTAAATGCCTCAGCACCCTTGAGGTGTTGATGAGGAAGGGAAAGGTGCTTCCTCAGGGAGACAGTGGCAGAGGAGTGAGGGTTCTGGTTTCTTCTATCTGCGGGTAGCAAATACATGGGAAGGTCCATGCTGTGGCTGAATATTCTCACCTGAGAGAGGAGACCTAGACTGTGGTCAGCTCCAAGCCATCCATCCTGGCAGCCAATGGGTCATTCTGGCAAACTGATGAAGGCAGTGCTGACCACATATATCATGCACTTGCTATCAAATAGCAAGTTAGATTATAGCAAAAGAGTCTGCATACAGAAAGGGCTGAGCATGATTTATTCTGAGTTTCAGGAAACAAAGTCTTGAATAGGTCATCATCATAAACACCAGTTTTCATCATGTCCTTTTGTTGGTGCAGAAGGGAGTAAGCTGGGCTGAATCTATAATGGCCACAACCTCCCAGGACCACCTTGACCAGGTTTCCAGGTGATTCTTACCCTCAGGCAGTTTGGGAAAGCTTTTACATTTGAATTTGGAGGATTCCGACTTGATGAATATTAACCCTACTTTTGGAAAGAAAGAAACTGAAATGTTCTACCCAGTGGATCCACTAAGTCTTTGATGCCCAATGAAACAATGGCTTTTGCTTCCCCTACTTACCTGGAAAACACCTTTGGAGTAGCTGAGTTCCTCTGGTCCCTGCTTGGACAGTGGTCTAATCACATAACCTGGAGTTGTTCACTGGGGCAGGGGGCCGGTGAGTTGGCAAAGCCACCATCTTCTGTTTTTCTAAAGGATACTGAGTGTTTCTTGCCTCTTTTTCTCTTGTTCTCGCCTTCCTTCTTGCCCCTCCTGCAGGCACCAGAGGAAGATTACACGTTCATTCTTCAGAAGGACCCAGATCTCCCTCAGCCAGGCCTTCCACTTATGGTGGATCGATCTTCATGAACTGGTCCTGCGTGTGAAGGGGCTGAGGCTGGTCAGCTGGGTCACAGCTCTGCTTTGCTGGCTGTTGCCTGCTTCATACTGAGTGGACTGGCTGTGTGACCTCGGTGTGAGGTCTCTATGTGACCCTGTGGTCTTTTCACTCCTTACTCTTCTGTTACATCTCTACCCTTTGCCCTGTTTCTGCCACATGGTGTCTGAGAATCCCACGGTCACTGTCCACAGCACCATTAAAGTTCTCTCCCTTGGAGTCCTTGTCTCGGCGTCCCCAAGCTGTGCCTGCGAGAGGCTTCTCTCCACATCCAGGGAGAAGGCACGGCAGTTTGCTTTCCTGTTCCCTGTGTGTGCCGTTGGGTTGGATGCCACCTTCCCCCAACTTCCATTAACCCTTCCTGTTGTCAGGATGGACCATGAATCCCACTGAGGGCACATTTAACTCCTCAGAGGTTTGATTTTGTTGGAGGGGAGCCTGGTCTCTGAGCTGTGAGAGAACAGCTTCTCCCTGCAATGTCGCTCCCCAGAGGGGCCAACCTGAGCCAGGAGACTCAGCACCCGAGCCAGGCTCTGGTGCCACTGTGAGCTCCCTGCTGTCATGGTGACCCCTTTGGTGTTTCATGTACTGTGGTTCAATAAAAACCCCTGCAGGGTTGCAGGGCAGGGCCTGGTCAGTGGGGTTTTTATTCTGGGTTGGGAGTGAGTCCACTCTGGCCGCTGGGTAAGACGCCTCCGGATGCCGTGCGGTTCTGATCTGCTTGGCTTCTGGCCATGTAATCCTTCCAGCCTCCACTGTGCGGCCACTTCCTGCTTCTGGTATGTTTCTCTCACTTTCTGAGACCTTGGCTGGAGGTGTTAAGAAGCCCAAGGCCAGGAACTCAGAGGCTGAGCTTTATCCTCCAACTCTGGTTCCCCTGGGTTCTCACCTTGTTCCCTGCGACTTGGCACCTGCCTTGTTCTACTAATTGCCTCCCGATTTAGCCTTGGAGGTGTCGTTCGATGCCCCCAGTCCTGGAGACTGTAGCCCAAACCTCAGTCACCGTGGCTGGTGTTCCACTCTGAAATCTTGTCCCCTGTCTAGACTGCGTCTACCTTATTGACCTCTGCCAGCTGGCCCCTCCCCCCCCCCCCCGTTAGAGTGTCTGCTCCTGTTGTGGGGACATCCTCAAACTCCTGCTCTGACTCCTGTGTCTGTGTGGTCTCCAGGTTCCCTGAGACCCCCCCCCCAACTCTCATGGAGCACCCGTGCTCACAGACGGTAATTGTATTTGAATCTCTCTGATCTTACTTCACCCCATTCACAGGGGCAGAGAAAACCTAAATTTGAGTCTCATTTTCTGTTCTTTTTGTTCATAATACAACAAGCAGATTTTACACTGATCAGAGATGATTCGCAATCCCTTTATTTCCTGAAAGAATTAATTGTTCTTAGTGACCAGTTGGATGCCCCCAGGGACCTGAGAGAATAAGCTGCAAGATCTGTTATGAATCATGAGAATGCCTGCTGCATATTATATTTTATGGTATCTTTTATAGCCACTGAAGTAAATATAAATGTCCTTTTTGTTCAAGGTAATGGTTACTTGCTTTTCACTTTTGGTTTAATGGTTGGCTTCCTGCTGTCCTGGGATCTAAAACATCAGCATGTTGCCAGAACAGTTATCCAGAGAGGGCTGAGAGTCTGGGAGAGTTTGCCGTACAGGGCAGTTTGAAAATAGGAAGGGAGTAGGTTGATGTTTACTGAGTACCTTCCATGTGTGAAGGAACATGCTAGGTGCTTTGTAAATAAGTTACATTATTGAATTTTCCCATCATCTCTATGAGGGGGAGGGGTCATTAGCCTCATTTTACAAAGATGGGAACTGAGGCTCAGAGAGGTTTAGTAATTTTCTTGAAGTCACACAGCTGCTGAATGTTGGTGCATGCTTTGCTTTTTATTCCACAGTGCTGTAGATATGGATTACACCTGCTCCCTAGGCTGCCATATGTGCCTGAACTGTGTCTCAAACACCCTGACTTCAGAGGAAGTTGAATTTTCAGTGGAGGTAGGAGCATGGATGGGTAAAGGAGACAAAAAGCTCTGGAAAGTGCAGACTGAGTCCCGGTGTTCCTCAGGCCTAAGACATGATGGACCTGGACCACTGCGATACTGCAGTGCAGTTCTAATGCTGACCACCTGGAGTTAGTGTAGACTTGATAGGCTAAGGGCACAGTTCCTGTAAGACTGCCCTCACTTCAGACACAAGCTGCAGGCTTGGGTGTCCCTGGGCCATCTGCACTTCTGACCAACTGACTACAAATATGGGGATTCCCACAACTCCCTCAGGTTTGATAATTTGCTAAAATGACTCACAGAACTCAGGAGAGCACTACACTTGTGATTACAGGTATATTATACAGGATACAAATCAGGATCAGGCAAATGAAGAGACACGTAGGGCGAAGTCTAGGAGGGTCCCGAGTGCAGAGCTTCTGGACTCTGTGGAAGGAACCTCTTGGCACAACAATGTGTTCATGGAGCTTCAGCGTTCAGAGCTTTTACCAGGGTGTCATTACATAGGCACAATTAATTGAATCATTGACCCCATGATTGAACTCAACCTCCAATCCCCCACCCTCTCCAGAGAAGGTGGGACTGCTCACCCCCATCCTGAATCATTTAGCATAAACTCAGGTGTGATCCAGGGACACACCATGAAAAACAAAGATACTCCCATCATGAAGAAAGTCCAAGGATTTAGAGGTCTTCTCCCAGGAGCAGACAAAGGGACAAAGAGCAGAAAAATTCTTCATTATATAACAACCACTGCGGTGTCTTCTCATCCTGTGTACTTGGCCTGAGGTGTGTCTTCATCGACCGACCGACTACTGGCCTGTGCCTTCTGCTCAGTGGGGTGGAGCAGTCTCTGGAGTGAGGCCATCGGTGGCTCTTACGATCTCTATTCTGCAACTCAGAGGCGCTCACGTGAGCTTCTGCAGGGGACCTTCGCCCTGCTCCCTTCTCCATCCTGTGGAACTTGCCATAAATTGATTTGGGTTTGGTGCTTCCAGTAAAATCCTAAGAGTTTCTTCTCCCAGCAGTGACAACGCGTCAGGTCAGCACCAGCTTACTTTGAAGAGTGCTTTCTGTGTTCACTCTTGGATCCTTATTCAATTTAGGTGTTGGCTTCTTTGATTTAGGCAGTTTGGCTCTTGTTCCCCTTCCCTCTTCTTGTCCACCTGGGGAGAATTCCGACTCAATGCCCACTTGACCCAGAGCCTCTCAAATGTGTGCCCAGCTTATAGGAAGAGCAGATGTCTTGATATGTAGTAAGTGCTCAGTAAACATGCAGATAGTCAGACTCTCAGAATACTTCACTATTTTCAGGGATGTTGAAACCTGTGTATTTAAAAAGAAGCTATATGTGCCACTCTCCCTCCGCTAGGAATGCTGCCTTGTTTGATTGTCAGGTTAATTTTTGCAGCATCTGCGCCCACTCCCGGGATCAGGGATGGTCCCTCTCAGCGTGACAGGCTGTCAGGGCCCTCCTGCCAGGGGTGCAGGGCTCTGAGAATGTGAACTTCTAATGACATCTCAGAAAATGATCCTGGCTCCAAGAGGCACCCAACAAATCCTCAGGGGCAGCGCTTGGGAGGTTTAGAGTTACCCTCAGTGGAAGCAAATGTGAGAAGGGTTGGATGGAGCCTTGCAGGGTGACACTTGGGGCTTACGTGGCCTCGAGGTATGGCTAAGTGGAGCTTCGGTCTGAGTTGGGATCTGGGCAAGATCCAAATAAGACGAACAAAGCTGCAGAGAATTCCATGTTCCTGGCAGCCTGGCCTGCTGGGGGTGATGTTTGTTGGGCTGAATTAGGGAGACCCATATTTAGAGAGAGGCCTTGAATGCCAGGCAGCCTAGTGCCACTGCTATTGGTAACTGGCCAAGGCAGACTGTGGGAGGCCCTGTACCCTAAGCCTTAAGCCTGCAAATATTTTAGTCCATTTGTTCAGAAAGACTCTGCTCTCACCTCCATTCCTTCCTCCTTCCTTCCTGTGAAGTAAAGCCCACTACAAAGCTGCTCTCTCCTTTTCTAAAGGAAGGTCGGGGTCAGCCCTCAGCAGAGTAAATATTAAACCTTGGACTGTGATGTCCGTTTTCCTGCAGCTAGTGTCTCCTGGCCTGGTTTACTTGGCTTCTCTGGAGGCCACCTCAGCCCCCAGCATCAGCTAGCTCCCCTCCCAGCCATGTCACCGAGCCCCTGGCCAGCACTGCTGGGGATAGAAAACACTCTTTCTGCCTGGTTCTGCCTTTGGTTTAATAGTGGCATAATTTCTCTGATACTTCTTCCTGTTTCTCTCTTTCCTGGCTGTAAAGGGAAGGCCAGGCTGGCAAAGTGGTGAAGTGATGGGTGTCCAGCCCACCGATCCCTGACATTTCAGCTCCCATTTCCTCGTCTCTTCTCCCTGCACTTTCATTCTAGAACAGTGCTTCTCAAACTTCCAGGTATAAATGAATCACCTGGGCTCTTGTTAAAACACAGATTCAGCCTCGGCGGGTCTGCGTGGGGCCTGAGGTTCTGCATCTCTAACCAGCTCCCCGGGGATGCTGATGCTGCTTGCCTGAGGACCATGCTCTGGTTTGCAAAGTTCTGATCAGTGGTTCTGAAGGTGTGGTACTGGGACCAGCAGCATTAGCATAACCTGGGAGCTGGTTAGAAATGCAAATCTCAGACCCCACTCCAGATCTGCTGAAGCAGAAACTCTGGGGTGTGACCCTGCAATCTGCTTTAATAAGCCCTCCAGGGGGTTCTGATGCACATGCTCACGATTGAAATCCCTGTTCTATGGTTCTCAATCCTACCTGAACGTTGGGCTCACTGAGAAAGCTGTGAGTGCCCAAGATTCTGATTTAACTGGTTTGAGTGAGAACCAGGCAGTTAAAACATTTTTAAAAAAACTTTTTATTTTGAAATAACTTTAGATTTACAGTAGGCTTGTAAAGATAGTCCACAGAGTACCACATACCTTTCACCCAGCTCTCTCTAATGTTAACACCTTACATAACCACAGTACCTTTATTAACATTAAGAATTAACATTAGACATTACTTCAGCTGAGCTATTCATATTTCACCAGTTTCCATACTAATGTCCTCTCTGTGTCCCTGGTCTAGGACACACTGTACATTCAGTTGTCATGTCTCCCTAGTCTCTGCTCTGTGACAGTTCCTCAGACGTCCCTTGTTTTCCATGACCTTGACACTTGGGAAGAGCACTGGTCAGGTATTTTGTGCAACGTCTTTCAAGGTTGTTCTGTCTGATGTTTTCTTGTGATGAGACTGGGGTTACGGGTTTGAGGAAGGGTTGCACAGAAGTGAAGCACCCTCTCATCACGTCATACCTGGGGAAACATAATTTTGACTTGACATACTGTTTCTGTTCTTTAAATTGCCCCAGCCAGGGTTGGGACCCTGCTTTGGGCTCACATACATTCCAGGAGTCTTCTGGAGAAGGAAGAAATGCAGCTTATGGACTTCTCCACAGGTGGGCATTAGGCAGAGATCCTCTTTGAGACTGAGAAGCCTGCCTGGCTATTTCCAAATTAAAAGGCTCCCAGTAAACTACAAAATGCGGATACACCAGCACAAGGTAATAGAATGGCTGTGTAATTATAATGTTTACATTTATCAAATGTTAACTTTTTCAGCATACACACAAATGCAATAACAAATGAATGTAACATCAGGTGTGTGAGCATCAAGTCCCTCCCCTCAAAAGATAAGCCTGGCACTAGTAATTTTGTTTTCCAGGTGTTTTTGCAGTTCTAGGAATGGAAATCACCAGTGGGAGGTTGGCAGGGAGCCCTCTCATCTGTCACCCCGAGTGGTGGGCCTGGTGCCCTCCATCGGCCTGCCCTGACAGCCGCCTCCCAGTGCCCAGAGGGGAAACCACAGTCTTGCTTGGGCTAGTGGCTGAGTGTTCCAAGCCCACGATGGACTGCCCACGCCATGAATGATGCAAGTGGTTGATGGTCCTTTCTCTTGGTAAGTAATAATGGAGGGGGAAGCCCGGGGGGTGCAGTGGCTTCACCCTCCAACGCTGACACTGGGTGGGACGTGAAGTCCTTCCAGGTTCCCCAGAGGGTGAAATTGGGGCCAGAGGTCAGGGGCTCTGGCTGTTCCCTGCTTATTGGAGCTTCCAAGCCTGTGTGTAGGTGGGAGGTCTTCTTCCCTGGCCCCTGGGTGTTTGCCCCTTTTTGTGCCAAATGTAAGTGTATGCACGTCAGAGTATCTACAAACAACTGCTGACAGTGGCTGCCGCCATCACAGAGGCAAGAGGTATAGGGTAGTAATTAAGGGCCTGGGCTCTCAAGTTGGCCAGAGTTCAAATCCTATTGTCCTCAGTGTTCTGTGTGACCTTGGGCAAGTATCCCAACCTCTTTGAGCTTCAATTCCTAGATTTGAATAGTGGGAACAATGGTGCCTACCTCATAGTGTCATTGGGAGGATGAAATTAGATAATATATGCAATGTACTTGCAGAAATGCTTACATGGCCATCTCTCTGGCCACAGACATTGGTTCCAGTATGAGGTCATGACTCCAAGGGCCTTCCTTTGACTTTCAGCTAAGACTTTGGAGAATGACTATCTTTCCACTGATTGCTAAGCTCCAGTGGCTATATTGCTTGCCTCTCTTTTGAACTCCTAGATCCAGCCATTCCTGCAGGCCAGATCCACCCTTAGCTCTTTAATTATAGGAGCCAATAAAACTCCCTGCCTTCCTTTTTTTTGGTGTAGGTTACTTTAAGTTGGGTATCTGAGTTCTAACCAAAAGTGCCCTTATCATTGCAGCTATTATCTTTAAGGTGCTGGCCAATGTTTGGAGGATGGGGAGAGCCCAGAGGAAGTCTTGAGAAGAATAACAGAGATGTCTACAGGGATAGACAATAGAGAAATAATTACAGACTTGAACACTCTCCAGAGAGCCAAAGAAGAGCAAACAGAGTTAAGTTATATTAAGAGCCAGTTTGGTGGGACGTGGTGGGAGGCATGGAGACCTTGTGATTATTGTGATTGCTGGTGTTGAGACAATGAGAGTCAGGGCTACTGACAGGTTACTGATTTGGTGCTGTTTTCCAGTCATAACCAACACAAAGGCCGTGCTGTTCTGTCTGGATGCCAGTTGTATGGATACGATTTTTATAGTAGTCATGTCTGTTTCCTAATTGTGTTTTTAGAACTTGGCTATTTGGCTGAAATAGGCTTAATTTCTCTTACCGATTCTGCTAGTTGCTGTGCACACAGGTTACCCCCAGAGAGCTGGCAGGAGCTCTCTCTTTAATCACAGTATTAGTTGGAAAGAGACATCCCTAGGAGCATTTAAGATAAAGACAGTCTCACGGAGGTGTTCCCTGTTGACCAGAGCTGAGCTGGCCAGTTCACAGAGCCTATGTTTAACCAGGGATGAGTTTGGGAACTGGACTGTGTATGTGGAATCTCCTTTCTCTTCTGCTTTTCCTGATTTTACACGTCTGGTTGAGTGAGATGAGCGCTCACATGAGGGCTGTCCCCTCTCTTTCCCTGTCTGGGTAGTGAGATTCCTAAACAGGCTGATCTTGATGTTTTGTAGACACCAAGCTCATCCCATCTCCATGGCCTTGCTCTTGGTGTTCACGCTGCCTCTCTCTGCTTTTCCTGACATCCAAGCCCTCTGCTTTCTACACTCGTTACAGCTCTCAAGTCCTGCCTTCTGTAGGGAGCCTCCCAAGACCAGTGCCCTTGTTGATCTCCCTCCTCCTCCTCCTCCCAGTTCTCTTGACACTTCTCTCCACTCCCACCATCCACACTCAATGGTCTACCTGCCCCATGCAGTCCTTGGAGGGCAAGAAACATTTCTTTGTCTCTTGCATGCTCTGTGACACCAGGGCAGCGGAGGCCATAGTAGGTCTTTCATTGGTCATCATATGGCCATGAACACATGCCTCACTTCATGCATGTAGCGTGCCTTCCTCCAATGCCCTTTTATTGGGGAGAGGAGTGGACAGACAAAGTGAATCACACATGATGCTTGCCTGTAAGGAACTGGGGTATCTTTGTCAAGAGCATATGCTTTGGGTAAGGAGAGAGTCTCCTGCAAGTGGGAGCAGTGGTGAACTGGGAGACTATGGTCTGGGAGGAGAGAAAGAGATTTAAATAACTCTCGGGGACCAGTGATGCCAGTCAGCAGCTCTACCTGGAAGTAAGATTCAATGAGACTGTCTCTGTATTTCTCTTTGTTTCTCCTTGGGGCCAATATTTCCCTAAATTTTATTTTGACCAAGGGGCCTATACTCACTGTCTCAGTGGATGGTGCCACCAGCAGTCACCTAGGTCCAAAAGCTGGGAGTCAGCCTTTACCCCTTGTTGACCTTCATAGCAATGCCCCATGAACGATACCATCTTGTATGTCTTGTGTCCACCAACTCTCCTCTCCCTCCTTTACCACTAGCATTTTGATTTAGACCTGGTCCCCTCACTGGTCTCCTTGCCTCCCACCATGTCCCACCAAACTGGCTCTTGTTCAGTTCACCTAAAGCCAACCTGCCTACAGTCACATGGCCAAAAACCTCTTTGCCCAAGGATCAATTCTCCCAAAGACCAGTTTACCTCAAATTAAGTACTCTTGAGTATTTTCAGATCCATTTAACCTTCCTATTAGTTCTTGTCTTTTTTTTTCATTATAAAGATTTTTTAAAACCAATTCAGGCAAGAGTAGTCAACTTAATTTTGTATTCCTATTAAGTATTTATTAAACAAGCAGCTTTTTTGAATGATTATTTTGTATTCTTATGGATGTCTTTTTCTAGATTGCTTACTTTCATTAACTTTAAAGATAACCAGTATTTAGCCATTTTTGTCTAAAGACACTTTCCTCAAAATATAGCTGTCCTAGCAAAAAATATTCAAGGCATTAATTACAGTCAATTGCTATGCACTGTGTCATCTTGATTTCTTAACTAAGGGTAGTTTTAGATGAAAAATGGTGGGTATTAATGTTGAGTTTTGTGTGGTGCATATTATTGTATGAATTAGGGACCCTGGAAAAGGGTGATTCTTTCTCTCTCCCTTTTTTTCTTTCCTTCCTTTCTTCCTTTTTTATTGAAGTACAGTTGATTTACAATGTGTTAGTTTCAGGTATATAGCAAAGTGATTCAGATATATATGTATGTAAATATATTCTTTTTCAGTTTCTTTTCTATTATAGGTTATTATAAGATACTGAATATAGTTCCCTGTGCTATACAGTAGGTCCTTGTTTATCTATTTTATATATAATAGTGTATAATATATAAATTATATAATATATAAATATATATATATATATATAAATTATATAATATATCTATAATATATAAAGTATATAATATAATAGTGTGTGTTAATCCCAAGCTCCTTATTTCTTCTTCCCCCCTTCCCCTTTGGTAATCATAAGTTTGCTTTCTATGTTGTCAGTCTATTTCTGTTTTGTAAATAAGATCACTTGTATCTTTTTTTAAGAGTCCACATATAAATGATATCATATAATATTTGTTTCTCTGTCTGACTCCACTTGGTATGATATTCTCAAGTCCATCCATATTGCTGCAAATAGCATTATTTCATTTTTTCATGGCTGAGTAATATTCTATCGTGTGTGTGTGTGTGTGTATGTGTATGTGTGTGTGTGTATACACACATCTTTATCCATTGATCTGTTGATGGACATTTAGGTTGCTTCCATGTATCGGCTGTTGTAAATAGTGCTGCTATGAATATTGGGGTGCATGTATCTTCTCAAATTAATGTTTTTGTCTTTTAAAAAAGGATGACTCTTATATGCAATATGACACGTTTGCTAAATCTCCTCACTGCCAATGACTGGTACATAGTATATGCCCAACTCATGCGTTTTTAGTGAATGAGTGAGATTCTGAGATGAGACTCTAGCACTGCCACTTGTAATAAAGCAATTTATGTCACAATTAAACTGTGTCAACCATCAGGAAAGAGGCATTTGCCTTGGATTTTAAACAGAGAAACCAATGGTATGAAATACTGTCACTGGCAAAGCTAATGAGCTTTTGACCTAGGAAAATAAATTGGATTTCTCTAGGGTTCTAAAACAGACATAGCAAATACTTGTCCTCTACTGTGGTTAATGCAAACTCCACAAATTGATCATTGTATGCTCTCAGGTTGAGCTGGGATATGGTTCCAGAATCCTTCTTAACACAGCACAAAAGTCAACTGTTCCTGATTGAGCAGTATTGGCATGTAATGCCCGATTGCTATTTTGAGCCTCAGAGTAGGATCCTGTCTTTACCTGGGATAGTATAAGGACTCTCATAATGAAGACAGGAGGATGGACAAATTAACTTCTCCACAATGACAACATTCCTAGCTTCCTGGTGGTGGGGAGGAGCCATCTTGGGCTCATTTGGGCAGATTAACTTAAAAGCATTGAGATGTCATTCTCTAGCCTAGAGGACTTTATTTGACACCAAATCGCTGTTTTCTTCTGCAGGGACTTTGATCTTCTGGGGTTTTGGGGAGTCATCATGAGTTCCTGCATGGAACCAAAGAAGTTCTGGGCAAGAGCCTGATCTCCTCCCACTGTGTTCAGCTTGGGAATCTGCAGCATGGAGCTAGGAGGGATCCTTGAATGACAGTCCAGAGATGGGTGGGTGCTGACCAGCTGGTCACTTAGGGCAACTCTTCTCGACCCCCATCCTCTGATCTCTCACCTGCAAATTAAGGAGACTGTTAAATCAGTGGTTCTCAGTGGGGGTGCTACTACCCCCTGGCACTTTCTGGAAATGTATGGGGACGTTTTTGATTATCACAATGCCTGGGGGACTGCTACTGGCATTGATTGGGTGGGGTCAGGATGATAGACATTTTCCTATGGGCAGCACAGCTTCACTCAACACAAAGAATTTTCCAAACGTCCCTCAAGATATTCATGGGGTAAAAATCTTGTTTAGAATGAACTGAATCTACAACCTAACCCTGTTTTACATGTAAAGGCAAAGCATTTTTTCCCCATAGTTTTAATACCTGTTGAATTTTCCAGGAATGGCACTACCATGAGAATTGAGGGGTGACTTGTTTCTTTAGGAATTATTGTTCACTACTTTGGGAAAGCACAAAACCAATGGCAATGCAGAGCCTGCATTTGAATGACCATTGTAACCTACCTGTATCACTCTGACTTCCAAAACTTATGCAGGTAGATGTTTTATATATGTGTAATGTAGGTAGGTTATAGTTTCTGTGGATTTCATTTCAGGACCATTGGGGGCATTACAAACTATTTGTTGTAGAAAGGGTGCGTTAGGTCTGACTGGGCTAAAAACCACTGGCCTAAAGATCCCCAAAGAGCCTGTTTAGCTCAAACGCCCTCTGAGTGTGGAAGTCGAAGGAGATTCACATGGCATGAATAATGGAAAACACACAGCAGTAGAAATGGATCAAGGCAAGGATTAACGTCCCCAAGTTGGACAGAGTCTACTGCTGAGAGTGCCCATTGCTGCGTAACTCTGTTACTGGGGTGAAGTCCTTGATTTTGGACTCTGTGTCCAAATGGGATTCAGGATCAGAATGCCTTAGTTGTGCAGCCACGTGGATCTTTTATTGTTGGCAAGGGATCGACCTCCTGTGCACCCACTGTACCTCTCCTTCTATCTGTAATCCTTCCTCATGCCCCATTCTCATGATGTAATTTTAGTAGAATTAAACTTGAACAGCCCAAAATTATATAATTAATTACATTCAGCTTCAATTATAGTCACTAATTGATCCAAGCCTACAAGCACAACACTTCCATTATTTGGCACACAATTATTGAGCACCTACTTTGTGCTGCAAATAAAGTAGGGAATGGTCAATTTCTCCTGAGGAGGGGAGGGTGCAGGGGGGTTGAGGGTTGTCAAGATAGTCCTCCTAAAGAAAAGGGGATAGTGGCCAAGGCTTTGGTGGGGAAGTGG